TTGCATAGCAGTCTTGTGTTACCTTTCACCAGGATGTTCTCGTTGTAGTTTGGTCTGCCCTGGGTATATGGGCTTCTGCGGTCTCTAGGAGAACTCATCTTTCTGTTCACTTTTCTTCTTGTTTCCCAAAATTGCCTAAAAAAGAAATTTTAAGAAAAAAAGAATTTGCGGGAAAGAGTTTTTTTTTTTTTTGATCCAATAAGACTTATAATAATTATTAGTCTTAAACAAATACAGCTAAAGTATTGGGAATTTTAAAACTTGTTTAACTATAAAAAACTAGATCAAATAATAAAAAAAAGATACAAATATTTAAAATTGCAAAAGACTTGAGTATAACTTTCCAGAGATAAAAAATGGAATAAACCTTTTAAATAAAAAAAAAGTGATAATTTTTCAAGAATATTTATCAAAAGAAAAATATTAAAAAGCTATCTTATTCTTGTGCAATAATAGACTGATATATTTAGATCAAATAGTAGAAAAATAAACTATGAGATTAAACAAAAGTAGAAGTTGATTCAACTATTCTAAAGTACAAGTAAAAGATCAATTCTAGAATAGTATATTTTATTGTTATACTTGTTATCATTAGAAATAATAGAGAAAATTATTAAAAAATGATATAATGACAATATCTCATAGAAATTTTACTACCCAAAACTCAATTTAAATAGAGATAAAAAATAAAAATTTAATACATTCTAAACAAATATTCAGAAAATAATCTAGAAAAAAGTTTCAAGATCAAAAAAAAAATTGATACATTTTAACTATAAAGAACAAATAAAAAACCAAGAAATAATATTGTCTAAGTACAAAGGATATACAAAAGGTATACTTACCATGGTTATATATTAAAAATATTGTTATGGGTCACATGGATGACGCGATTTATGCGTAATAGTCTAGAATCCAAAAACCTGAAAGTCTGGTATGAAAGATTGAGTGTCACAAGGTAAGAAACTATAGATAAGGCTCGGGTACTGATAAGAGAACTGTGTGTAATTGAAAAGTATAGAAAGTTTAGCAAAGTTTAGAGTTAGTATAGCCGATTATAAAGTAAATAGTCATTGTTAGATAGAAAAGTATAAATAGCTTACTAATGTATGCCAAAAAGGCAGAGCTGAATGTGTTAGGAAAAATAGCACTCATTGAGAATAGAGATAAGAGTTAGTGATATATCAAAGAAACAGAACACAATAAAGAGACACTTACCTTCGGCCAAGTCAATCATCATACCTCTGCCTTCCCTAAGTGTTCTTTATAGAAGGCATTCTCTTCTTTGTGTCATTTGTAAGTATTCTTGAGAAGTCTGGGTTACGCAAGACACTACGGGTTAGTGACGGACTTGCCGGGATAGCCCACGACAATATGGAAAAAGACAAGATTTATGAGATCACTTTTCTGAATAAATATAAATTAACAAAAACAACCAAAAATCTAAAGATTCTATTAAGAAAAAAAATATTGAAAAATAAAATAGTAAACAAGATTCAGTGTATCAAAGTATCTCATAAACTTGATAATCAAATATCGCAGGTATTAATTAAATAATTAAAAACAAAAATTATTAAAAAACATATTTAAAAAGAAATTTATCAAGACTAATTAAAAGAAATTTTAAGAAGAAATCTAGAGAAATAAGAAATATTATAGTTTTATACAGATTGATTCCTAATAAATCATAGAAAAAAACAATCAAAATAGGAATAACATAGATTCAAACAAATGATAAAGGATAAGGAAGTAGATTCTAGTCATAAGTATAAAATTGACTATTATCTACAAAAGCAGAATTAAAAGCAATAGTCATAATTTTACTGATAATACTAATAGAAATCTTGGTTAAAATCTATACAAATAGTTAAACATGTATATTTAAATGAAATAATTTTAAAAAAAAAATAATTTAAAAATAACTTATAAAAGATAGTTTAAAGAAAAAAACTGATTCCTCTGGATAAGAATGCTAAATATTGTTAAAATAAAAATATAAAATTGAGGTTGATTAAAGTCAAGGTATATATTAACATTAAGAAAATAATATAACAGAATATAATATTGAATAATCTTATAAAACAATTTAAAAAAAAAATAAATAGTAATACAATAATATACTGTTGGTTACAATAAAACTAAACCCAAGATAAATGTAACCTTTAAATAGATTGATTGAATTATTAATAGGATATGATATAGAAAAGATCAAAGAAGGAACATACATGAAACACTTTCTTTAAAAGCTCATAGTAGAAAAGTTTTTTGATTAAGTTAATCAATAATAAATTACCTATAATAATTAAACTAATAACAAAATCTAATCTATATAAAAAAAGGTGATTGTTTAGTACATGAAGAGTAGAAGAAAACAATAGAATATTTTATAGAATATTCAAAATACAAAAATATAATGAATAAAGTCTGATCAAGAGAAATAGAGATAGCATATCAAGAATTCAATAAAGATAGGTAGAAACTAAAAAGATCAAATCCAAAAAAAATATAGTAATACTCTGATAGTTAATAAAAAAGAAATAAGAGAAATAGAAGTATAATTAATAAAGTTTATTAGAAAGGTATCTGAAAAAATTAAGACTCAATCAGTTTTTACTCAAGATTAATCAAAAAAGGCTTGTTAATAGAAGCGAAAGAACTAGAATATAAAGAAAAAAATATAGGAATAATAGTCAGAAAATGAATACTTTATTATTAAAAGAAGGTTTTAAACTACTTCAGAAAAAAAGTATGAAACAAATGATATAAACAAATAATAGAATAGAAAAAAGCTTAAGAAATTTTTTAAAAAGATAAAATAAAAAAATTCACAAAGTTCTATTCAGTAAGGAAAACAAAAAATTCAAGAGATAAAAAAACTGAAAAAGAATATCTAGAAAAAGATTAACTATAATAATAATAATAGTGATTAAAAGTGACATGAAATGGTTGGGTTTTAGATTCAGTCAAAACTTTGATTAGTGATTTACAGTAGTGAGATGCAGGCAATGATGTTTATAGTAAAAGAGTATTAATTTGCATTATAAATAGAGTAATAAATTACTTTCAAAGTGACACTTAGAGTTTGAAAATAAATTAAGACAAATGAGTTAGTTAGTATTTTAGTTTTAGTGATATTGTAAATAGTATAGCTTATATTATATTTTAATAAAGTATATATAATTAATCTGATAATAAAAAAAAAAAATAATAATAATTAAAAGAATAAAAAAATTTTATAATTATTTTAATAAAATTTGTGATTATATAATTTTTGAAATTTTTCATAAAAATATAAAATTTTATTTGAATTTTTGTATAAATCAATAGTTCAAAACAATTATTAATAAAAAATATATATATAAACTATTATTTTATTTGAAGAAGATTATGGTTTGTATCAAGTTATCAAAAAATTGATGATAATATTTATTATTTTGTTATATCAAGACTTAAAAAAAAACAATTTGAAATAAATAAATTGAAAAATAAATCTATTTCTGATTATTTTTCAAAGTTTACTATATATGAAAAATCTATTATTATTAAAAAAAATTGTAAAAGATGAATATAAATAATTGTAAATATATAAAAGTTTTTGAAAAACATGAAAAAATAAATATTGATTTTAATAAAATTAAAAGAATTCTTAAAAAAAATAAATTTAAAGTATGTATAAGATATGAAAAACTTTTATTAAGTCAAAAAACAAAAAAAAATTAATTGGATTTTTAAAGAAATTTAAAAATTAGACTACATAAAATTCAAGTAAAATAATTTGACCAAAAAAAAAGTGAATTTCGCCAAAAAATAAAAATATTGTTAAAAAAACCCTACAAATCTATAAAGAATCAATATATGATTTTAACAATTAAATTTAATAAGTATAATATTAATATTTGAAGAAGTATTACTTATTATGATATAAAATATTTAAAAAAAATTTTAAAAAATCTAAATAGTGAGCTTTATATGCAAATTTTAAATTTAAATCTCAAAAATATTATTTTTCAGTATAATAATAATTCTAAATATAAAATAAAAATAATTTAAAATAATTAAAAAATAATAAAATTATAACATTTTTTATTATTTCAATTATCAAATAGAATATATTTGAAATAATATGAAAAGGAGAATTAATAATTTAGAGATTGATATTAAAAATAAAGAAATTCTTCAAGATAATTTATTAAAAATTTGAAATGAAACATTTGAAAAAGATTGTAAAAAATATATAGAAACAATGACTAGGAAAATCAATAATGTTATTAAGGCAAAAGGAGAATATACAAGATGGCAATATTTGTATAAATTTTTGTAATATTTTTTTGAAAGACACACACCCAGTAAATTTTTATTTCATTAAGTTGTTATGTACATTGATTACATCATATTATTCACTGTATATCCTGTTGATTTCATAAGATCGACGATCGGGTGTTGTTCTTTTGAGAGCCGCTTAATTAAACTATATTACTTTAATTTTTTAAAATCTAATTTTTAAAGTCCAATAACTATTTTTTATGTGGTTTTAAGAATTTTTATATTCTATTGATAATATTGGAAAAGAAGGATACTACATTTCACCTAAAATACATGAACCATCCAAGAAACTGAAGAGGTCACAGTTTACTGCGCAACAATCACGTGACATTATTCGGGTGTCTGAACACACTCAACGCGCGTTGTTTCCTTTATTATCGTGAACTATTACGGTGCATGCGTTTAATTTATTAAGTAAAGTATGTTGGTCGTTATAAATCCTTCATGTTTGTATACACAGTATGTGCCACACTCGGCTGCGCCAGCTGGTGATCTTCCATGTAAAACACTAAACGGTTTAGTGCGTACTCACGTACATACGCATTCAGAAACAATGACGGGTAATTTTACCCATGCAAAACAAAAAAAAAACCATTTCTTCTCCGTATATTCCGCGATGATTAAAACAAGATGTTTAAGTATAAAATGGTTCGTCATCTTACCTTTTCTTATAAAAGATGACATCGAAACTTCTTACTAGGCAAAGAATACTTTACGCCCTCCCAAAATTCACTCCATATAAAATTTCGCTGGTATCACTCGATTGGATACGAAAGAAGGACCCTCCCGTTGCATTGGGACACGCGTGCATCAAAGCATCTTTGTTCCAATCATTCACTTCGTCGCAGCTTTTGATTAACGACCATGTAGTAAACCTCTTTCAAAACACGCTTGCTTTTGATGAATTGTGCAAGGCAATAGCTCAACAAATTCTGTCCACCTCGCCTGACTTTATCGCATTTGGTGTGTTTGTATGGAACGAGATGCACACTCAACGAATATTAAATCTCTTGCGCAATGATCATAAATACAAAGGATTGATACTCTGTGGTGGTCCGCAAATCAGTTATGCACCAAAGGGAACCTTGGAACTATGTTATCCGCAAGTGGACTATTTCATTCGCGGGTATGCCGAAAATGCAATGGTTGATCTCGTTCGATGCAAGATTGAGCGAAAGAATCGGCGAGACCAATTACCGACGCTGAACGCAATTCAAGGATTGCACATTGCAAGTACTCGAGATCACGGGACGCAAGCACTTGTGGATCTCAATTCGTCGGCATCGCCATTCCAAACTTCGCCGCCAATCATAAACGTTTCGACACAACGATTTATAAGATGGGAGAGTCAACGTGGATGTCCGTTTCGTTGCTCTTTTTGTGCGCATCGGGATGCGGCAGCCGGTCGAACACCGATTGGACCTCAGCGCGTCAAACGGGACCTAAATCTGATTACAAACGTAAATTCCATTGTTAATGATATCGCGATCCTGGATCCCACATTTAATTCTGGAAAGGGTTACCTGTCCGTTCTCGATCATTTCATTGAGGCCTCGTTCAAAGGGAGGATCTCCCTGCAAACAAGGTTCGAAATGGTTACCAGAGATTTTCTCGAGAGATGTGAACTTTTAAAAGATGAGGTAACATTAGAATTCGGCATTCAAACTGCTATTCGCACTGAACAAAGAGAGATACAACGATCCAATAATTTAAAGCGAATCACCGAAATTGCAAAAGAGCTGACAAGACGCGAAATCATGTTTGAAGTTTCATTAATATATGGTCTGCCAAACCAGACCGTCGAAAGTTTTCGGATTAGTGTAGACTTTGTAAAAACTTTGGGCGCTACTAAAATTCATGCCTGGCCATTAATGTTATTGAGAGGGACTGAATTGGAGAGACGAAAAACTGATCTGGGGTTAAGAGAAGAGATCTTAATCCCCGGAGAGCTGAAAGAGATAGCCAAAGAGAGGTTAAGCGAAGGAATACCCCATGTTACATCATCACCTTCTTTCACTAGAGACGAATGGATGGAAATGAACCTTATCGCCGAAACTCTTTTCCAACCAGTAACTGGAGTTGGAAATATCCCGGCGATACTCTAATATGTCTGAGAGCGGTATTGACGATCGAGCTATCGTAAAATGCAGGAAAACCTGCATTTCACGTTAAAAAAAAGAATGAATTAATGAATGTATTTTTATTATTGATTGGCATCCCGTTAACATTGAAGCACCGCATGCATGATAAACTACGTAATATCCGGAAATCACCATTCAGTGGAAAAGAACTTTTTATGCTAGAAAAAAAAAAAATTGTTTTTTTATCATACATGTAATATACAGATTCATCGTCGGTCGCTATTCGAAAAGAAAAAATTTCAAATGTCGAAAAGTCGTAGTTCATCAATTTTAAAACTCCTTTTACCAACATTCCCGAGTAAATAAACGGATGGGTGTTTTTTTTGTGCCACTTTTATAATTTTTTTAAAAAATCTTTGTATTAAAGAATTTTTTCTAACGGTACGTTCTGGTATTTTTAATTAAAAATATACGATAAATACCCTTGATCAAGCCTCGATGATTTTGCCTTAATAAAAACATCCAAAAATGCAATAGCATAATAAATCACATGATACTGCACTATCAAGGGTAAATTGTTTAGTGGAAACATTGTTAAAAAGATAATTAATTGAATTCAAAGTCATTGAAAGGGGAACATATATTCCATGGAAGAGGACAAACCAAATTATAAAAGTCGAAAACGGCGAGTTTTTTAAAAATGGAAAACGCATATCGTTCTAAATATATACAGTATACAGTATATAAAGAAATACCTCTTTAAAAAATAAATTTTAGCATCTCAAGTTCAATGTAATGATTCTTTGATAATTTATTATTATTATTATTTTTTTTTTTTTTGAAAAAAAATTTTTTGCTACAATTTATCGTTATAAGTTGCTGTATAAAAAATTATTATTTTAATTATATCTTCTACAGTATATCCCTATTAACTTTAAAATTCTTTTCTTTGCTCATAAAACAGTATATCCCTATTAACTTTAAAATTCTTTTCTTTGCTCATAAAACAGTATATCCCTATTAACTTTAAAATTCTTTTCTTTGCTCATAAAATGATAATATTGTATAAAATGGTAATACGTTTTAGAAAATTTTAATACTGTATTCACGCATTCACGCTTATTATTAAATATTAAAGCGAAGCACCACGAGACTGTACGTATATCGCGATCATTTAAACGATTCAATTGCCCTCTGAATATTAGAAGGCAGTAACCTTTAAAGGCTGAATTTCATTTATTATTTTTTTGTACACTGTCGACCTCGTTATAACTAATCATAGTGATAATGCTGTAATTAAAATATAAATAAATTGTTTTTAAAGTACCCGCGTGCTCGTTTGATGATTAATTAAATTAATGAAAAGAATTAAGTTATTGAAGTCGCAACTTTCTTTCACCATAATCTTCACAAAAGCTCATCATGTGCATTTCCATGACATACAGTATGGATAAAGCATCAAAAATTAAATCAAATAATTGACGGATGTGATGTGATTCTACTATTGTTTACAAAGCAGAAATAGTATTAAGACCACCATGACAACAATATAGAATAAAACCTTAACAATTGTGAGGATTTTTTTGATATACAAACCTCATCGTAGGCTTCCTTATTAAGAATCAATGGGTCTTAATAATAAAATAGGAAGGAAAACAAGGATGCAAATAGATTGCACGAAAAAAAAAACCTTTTGTTCAAACAATAAAACGTTCGTTTATTTGTCAAACTCGTTAACTTGGAAAATTATACGCATTTACTGTAGATGGTGTCAAAATTTTGGCATTTGCAGTTTATAAAAATTCAGTTTATGAACATTGCCTCTCTTGCATCAAACTAATGTGCATGTTATTATGATCATTCGGGAATTTCCATCATTTATTATAATTCCGACAAGTTGGATTATTATAACATTATTTATATTCAATGACTAAATATTCTATTTTAAAGATCATAATTATTTAATGCATAGAATTGATGAAATTGTAAACTTAAAATGCTCAACGAATATGCTCGATTATTAAAATATCCATGACACCAGGGTGTAGATGTGTTGAAATCAGAATAGTTATAGGGTTTTAAAATTCAAAAATAAATATCACTACGCTAAAAATATATTAAATACTTGTGGTTAAAATAGGAATAGTTAACGGTTCGCGAGGTCGCGGGGTTAATGTCTTGCACGTATATGGTCATAGGAAACACTGAATGATCCCAAATTGATCATGTAATGGTAGCAATGTTCGATATTTCGGCACCGCCAGGGCAGATTTAATTTAAAATGAATAAACCTATCGAATCATTGATATAAGGAAAATCATTTCTCGGAAAAGCCCTCAAACAAAATGCATCTTGTTTTCAATGTTAGATGCGGCGGCCGGGCAGCTTGCATTTTTAGCATGTTCGGGAAAAGTACTGGGAACGCTCTGTCTCCCGCGTCCTGGCTTTGCTTTTTGTGGTTGTTGTTCGTCATATTTAACAAAATGTTTGACGAGGTTTGCAATATTGTGAGCGTAGTGGACAGGGGTAACCAGGGAAATAGGCGTGTTACATCTTTAAAGAAATAGACAAATATGTAAGACCATCGAACAATACCTTTCGGGAAAAAAATAAAATTAAAAAACAATGGTTACCTGGCGGACAAGTAACATAACTTGTTTGTCAGATTCTGCATCTCATCGGCCGTAAATTCACCACCATTCAAAATTACATGATAATAAGCAGGTCTGGCTGTTCCACGTAAGGCAGTATGCGATTGTAAGACTAAAAATAAACATATATGTAAATATTGTTGTTTCAAAATAAAAGTAAAATGAAAATATTTTAAACTGTGCCTTACAAAATGTAAAGTGCTGGGGCACGACGATGACAGAATCGACTATCGTTCCAGGCTTACAATTGCCATTCTTGTCGGCATTTTCTTCCTCGCTAGGCCTGAACCTAAAAAAAAATAAAAAAAAAGATCAAAGGCTAAGTATCTTGGGCACATGCGTTACGTATTACGTAATGCACACGATATGACGAATTACCTCGCGTGGTGACGTTTCTGCACAATTATATATGTCAGCTTTGGGGTTTCTTGCTTATGACCTTTATAATATCTTTCGAGTTCGGCGTACAGTGGCTTCAATTCTTCATCCAAGACATTTTTAAACTGACCTTCCGCAACTCCATCTCTATAAAATATGATGTGATCTGGAAGGTAATTGTTACGCTTCCTATATTGCTCAAGCAGGTCGATCGCCATATCTCTTATATCTTCAATCATTTCATTTTTCAATTTTAGATTGATGCTATATCTTGCGAAATATTTTGTAACATCCTTGTCCATCGAAGCGCATATGGCAGCAACGCTCGGATGTCCCCTCTTCTTGTCCATGTCTCCAGGATGAAAAACGTCGGCACCGAAAACGATATACTAATTAACGGCACAAGTAGATTAGAAAAATTAGAAGCAATTTCAGGATGATGCAACAAGGAAATTCGATATACCTTTTCTGATTTGAAGTTAAGTTCATTCTCAGCCAATTTCACATTTGTCCCCCCTAATTTTGTATTTATCTTAAGAGCAAGATTGTAACAAATTTGCTTCCATCTTTGTTTATCCCTCATATTCATTCCTATAATTGCTTGCGTCGGGATTCCTAAGTCTGTACTACAGATTTCCTTTATCTCGGGGTATAGAGTGCTGCCGCCGTTTGCCCTCTTTGGAATAATGCAGACAATTAATTGTGGGGGATTTTTGGAAACTTTTCCAAAGATCTGCGTGAATTTATCATAAATATTTAGTATATAAATATATATCGAAATGATTAATATGAAATTTATTTACATATTTAAGATTTCCTTGAGGATTTTCACTAATAAGAGTCCTTGGTCTTGTTGCAGTCTATAAATATAAATTTACGTACATAAATACTCACTCAAAACGCATTAAAACTCTTATTGCTGCTATTTATTGTCGTTTCGGGATTTTACCATTCCTTTTTCGGTTAGTACTTCGATCAAGATGTTTATGCGCGTATCGATATGTTCCATCGGAACTTCCTTATCGAACACATACACCACCCAATCTTTTAGGTGCGCAGGCTGTAAATACGCGGACTGATATATGAATACATGGTATAACTGAATGATCGATGATGCCAAGGAAGAAAATATATACGCACTTTTGCGAACTTATCAGAGGTCGTAATTTTTGGTGGATCCAACACTCTACCTGGAAGTTAAAATGACTCTATTAGCAAAGAGTACGGAATCGAAACTCACATAATGTTTACGCCAATTACCATCCACTTCCGAAAATTCGGGACTAACTTCCATCCCAATAGAACGTAAGGCAGGATCTGATTGATGCTTAAAGTAATTGTCGATGGCTTTCTTAATTACGGAAAAGCGAGTGCTCGGTGCAATCACAGTTTGTTCGATCATGCTTTGACGTTGTATTCTACTAAGCTTATCGATGGGATATTTTTGACCTGGTGTATGTAGATGTAAGCATATTAACAATTGGATAATTGACAGTTGAAGTTATCAAGTTTCGGGAATAAAAACTTACCGGGAGATATGGCGCAAAACTCCAGTGGAATATGACAATCCTCGGGTCTTTTTTCTTTTATTACAATGCATGGAAGCTTGGGATATTGTAGATTCATACCCCATTCCTGATAATATTTTGTGATGTTCTTCCTTTCTCCCCGGATTCTAAAATATTCGTCATCTGCAGAGTGGCTTGAGATACGTTGAACTTTGTATTCTTTATTAGGTTGGGTGCGATATATCGTCTTAATTCTTACGTCTCTGAAAAATTTATTGATGATTTTGATGTCCTCCGCGTCCAATCCTTTTATTAAATCGTCCTTTTTTTTCGAGAGAATTCTGGGAATGATCTCGACTACTGGCATGGATGGATAACATGTTGTAGCGTATATATCGACATTTGCAAACAGACGCCCTAAAGTAATATATAAACTTTCATTAAAAAAAAAAACAAAACAGTATAATAACCTTAAATGTATGTTTCATTAAAATTATCATACCCCATCCGGGACGAATTTTTTGACAGTATCCCTTTAAAAGTTCAATTCCACCAGGTAGAAACGCCTTGTTTTTGACAGGAGGAAATATTGCCTTGTTGAAAGTTTGATATTTCGCGTGGGGTGTGGTATTTAGAAATGAATTGAGAATTCGTAATGAAGTTTGGATTGTTTCATCCCAGCGCTGAGTTGAAATCTCCTTGATGTATTCCTGCATTGGTTTCAGCTTAAATGTTCTAATGTGTTCTATGGTAGCCCTATATCTTTTTGAGGAGCCATCTGAAGCGAGGACAACCTTGGGGGAAGTATTGATGATTTAGAGAGGAAAATATCAACTTCGACCAAATATTTATTTGATAAATAAAATATAATACCTCGTGTTCACGACCTTTACCATCACATAGCCTTTTCCTCGAGTAAATTACACTACCATCATATGCCGGAGGATTCGGGCCAAACACCTTGTCCTCCGACATTTTGCTAAAGACCTCTCCCTTCTCCCTCTTTTTGGCCTCATTTTTTTGTTGTCTTACTTCTAAATTGTGCATTTCGACATCAGGAAACTTAAACTGTGACGAAGAAAAAATCGATTGATATGAATTAACAAATCCCCAAAGATTAAAAGGTCATGACATAATGGTTTAACATTCGCCGTACACACCGTAATCTCTAGAAAGTTGGCGATCAGCTTGACCTTTGTGCCCGCCGTTCCACGCTCTTTGGGCCTTGAGGCGATTTCCAATTTCATTATGACGAACACAAAACCTAAAAAATTTTAACTAACTTTAGTACGCATATGAACAGTATATCATGCCCGTCTAGCATGCTATTAATTGTTAATGCTAACTTTGATTCCGGAGGTTATGTTTAACGATGCTCAGGGTAGTAGTTAGGGTTTTGCAAATATTTGAAAAAAAATAATTAGATGCTAACTTGATCGATCAGTCAACTTCTTTATATATCTTCAAGGGACTCAACACGCAGTAAAGATCACACATTGTAACTAAATTTGGAAACATAAAATTATCACCACACCCAAATTGGCACTCTTCAAACGTAATTACGCATTGGACGGGTAATTAATTGCACAGCAATACCAGGCTGGACCGCAAACAATGCTAACGAGAAAAATAGAACAGTGCCGTTCGACTTAAAATGGTGATTCCAAATTCGGTTTTTGCTTATTAATTTATCATTTTTGATATACGGTATATCATTGTCGATATACAACTGGATTGTGTTCTAATAAAGCAAGTTTCAGTCATGCTGTAACACGCGGTGTCAGCAGCCTATTCCACATCAAAAAGCCATTGGCGAAAGGCTCAGCAATAATCATAGCCCGCAGTCGGATCGAAATATGGCTTATTGCGTTATACTTCGATCTTTTATTTATAGATTTATATTTTTTATATTTAAATATATACAAATTTAATTTATTCGTTTATTATTAACTTAAATTTACTTTATATAATAACTTATAGAATTTATACTATCTATTGATTTTTCTTAATTTAAAATTTTTAATAAAAAATATATTAATTATAATAATAATAATATTTTTTTAATTCGCAATCATATTATCATAATATATTTTTATTAAAATATCGAATAAATATTTATAACATTATAATAAACTTTTTATATAATAAATAACCAATTATTATATATAGTTGCTTTCAAAGTTTTGATTTATTTATTATATTTTTAAAATAAATTACAATTTTATCAATTTAAGTCTTAAATTATATAATTAAAAATCATAAAATTTATATACAATATATTGTACTTTAATACTTGCTTTAGTTATTACATATTTTTTAAAAATATTTTTTAATAAGTAATTTTCAAAGTTTTATTACTATTAATTATTTTGATTTTTTTTTTTTTTTTTTTTGTTAATTATTACATATCAATCAAAATTATTTAAAACAAAAAATTAATAAAAAAAAATTTTTTTTTTTTATAATACTGAAACTTTAAAAATTATATATTAAAATTTTTAAAAAATATATAAAAAATAAGATTAATAAAAAAAATATGATATGATTACTTTTAAAAGTTTAAATTTACTTATTATTTTTTTATTATAAATTTTAATTTTATCAATTTTTAAATCTTTAATTATATAATCTGAAATTAAAAATTTATATATATCATATCTTAATATTGATTCTATTTTTCATATTTCTAAAAAAATTTTTTTTATAATTATTTTTTAAAATTTTATTAACTATTTTTTATTTTTTTAACAATTATTATATAATTTATAATAACAATAAATCAAATTATTCAAAAATTAAAATTCAATAAAAAAATTTTTTTTAAAAATAATAAAACTTTAGAAATTATACAGTTGCTTCCAAAAACTTAAGTTTACTTACTATATTTTTATTATAAATTTCAACTATGACGATTTTTAAATCATTAATTATATAATTAAAAATTATAAAATTTATATATATTATATTTTAATACTTATTCTATTTCTTATATTTTTTAAAAAAATTTTTTATTGATATATTTTAAAGTTTTATTATTACTAAATATCTTAATTTTTTTATTAATTATCATATGATTGACCAATTAAAATCTTTTAAAAATAAAAATTTGATAAAGAAAAAAAATTTTATCAATAATAAAACTTTAAAAATTACATATCAAAAATTTTTGAAAAAATCATAATAAATAAAATCAGTATTACAATATAATATATATAAATTAAGAATTTAAAAATTATTAATGTTGAAATTTATAATAAAAATATAGTAAGTAGACTCAAACTTTTGAAAGTAACTGATATATAATTTTTTGAAATAAATATAAAAAATGAAACTAATATTAAAATATAATATATATAATTTTTATAATTTTTAATCATGTAATTAAAATTTTAAAAATTAATAAAATTATAATTTATAATAAAAATATGATAAATAATTTAAATATTTGAAAACAACTATATTATAATCAAATTTATATTTGACTGATATATTCAAGTGGAATCACTTTTAAAAGGACAATTCCTAAAGAAAGAATTAAAGAAGTAATTTATAATAATTAAAGAAATTGTAATGAATCCACACCTGTCCCCATCAATTCTGTGTAAGTATACATGACTCTGTGTGACTATGAACCTGAAGTCCATCCTGTCTACTATTTTTGGACTCTCTGCGTAATATTATCCGAGATTATCTTTAGTAATCCCGGGCTGAGTGCCTTTCATTATAGTCAATTTATCTTGTTTCCCCAGAATAGAAATTAGCCCCGTAAACAGTAGTAGCGCGAACCAATAGATTTCTTTTATTATTATTAT